TACCCATCGCTAGTGCCCACTCTCATTAACTATAATGGCTTCTATTTAAAATGACGGCAAGGCCCATCCGTCCCAGGCCCCAGACTTCAGAGTATGAGTAGAGAATAATATTTTTGCTGAAAATAATGGACTGTAGTAACCACATTTGACCGTAGGATGTTATTCTTACAAATTGCACCTTTAAAGATAAACAAAGAAAGCTAAACACTGTTTTTCACGATAAAAACACTTCATTAGCTAGCATACTAAATTGTTGTACGGTTATGCAGGAGTGCAATGTTAGGAAATGTAGCAGAAAAGGTGCTAACAATGGTTGAAAATGTAAAACTCAACCCTTAGACCACTTGCTGTCAGCATGCTTAAGGTGGATAGGTATGAAAAAAAGAGAAAACCCAATGAGCACAGAAAGCTCACTGTTGTTGCAACACCGTTTCTGGACACATTATCAATCAGGGGGCTGCCAAGTTCAACATGGCCAGGGGAGAAGTTCAGGGAAAGGAGCATGCTTCCTCCAGCCAAGTCGTGTCCTGAAGAAGACGGGATCCAGAATTTTTCACTCAGCCGCATAAGAGGACAGTTTCAGAGAAAAAAAGGGAATGAAAAAGGTGGTGAGGATATGAGAGAGAAACTAAGACAGCGAAAAAGCAGATTTTCCAAGGAGCAGCACCATGCCGCTCAAACCGCATTGTTTCAGATAAAGGATGAAGTGTTCATGCAATTTGCTTCATTTCTGCAGCAGAAAACGAAGCATTAATGGATGCAGTGTGTTTGGTGATAGCTCAGTGAAAAATGCAGGCAAGACACGTACATACACGCCCTCAACCCACCAAACGTTCTGCTCCTGCTTCAGAAGTGGCTTCATTCACCACTTTCACAATCCCAGCTGTGAACAAGGCCATGCTACCTTAAAGAGCAAGTCACCCCCAACCAGATTCTTACTCAACTCCCACTTCCTGTTTGATAAATGCAACAAATGCTGTAGCCTAGCAGTCCGAGAGGGTGGAGCCGCTAACAAACACACACACAAACACAGGCTCACAATGACATTGTGACATCATATGGTACCACCTAACGTTCTAGGGCACTTCTTAGCCAATAGCGATGGCAGATTTAAATTCAAATGCAGTGCAGAGTTTTTACCTGACAACGGCACAACACTGACAGTTTTAGGCAGAAAATTCAAATTTTAACTAAAATGCACTAAAGAGCAAAACTATTGACTACACGTGTCTGCAGCACGATTAGACACACATTTATAGTTTATCAGAAAAAAGGTTGATTTGGGGGTGACTTGCTCTTTAAATCCATGAATAGTGGAACAAGTTTGGGATGCAAGTAAACTATAAAGAAACCGAGAACTTAATTTAAGGGGCACTGATGTACATGCTCGGCTTGGGTTTTCTTATATATATTAAAAATAATGAACATTATGGCGCTGGATCCTGGCAAACACACGCGGCAGCAGGAAAGTGCACAACACAGATGGGTGTGTGCAAAAGTCATGGAGATAAAAGCTGGAATGGTGGTGATGGCGTGTTAGTCATTTATTTATGCATTAATTTTTGACTGTATTGTTCAGTTTTTTATTGATGTGACATCTAAAACTGGCACCAAAAAAATGTTTCATTGGTAAACAACAGCAACAAATTATTTTCAGTTGTTTTAAAGTTCTCATGTATGAATGAAACTCAAGGTGAAGGACTGAAGAAAGTTCCTTCAGTTCAGCTGAAAGCACTGCTGCCAACACGTCAAAACAAACTCGTTAAAGTAGATTAATCTATCATTACGATTCATCTGATTTAACGCAATTAAACCACCTGCTGCGCAGAAAGACTTGAGGTGCCTGTAATGTCTCTGCTGTTTCATTTCGGCCAGCTTGTCCAAGTAGAGTTACCATCACATGTGCAAAAGGCAGCAGAACCAATCGAGCCACTGTGGACTATGCTAAACAGCAAATTGGACCACTTGATGGGAAATGTGAGTAATTGAAAAAGAACATAACAGTCAACCTTGAGTTGGAAAAGGGTAGAATGTCTTCTCCGGGTCAGGGACGAGGTCCTGCCCCAAGTGGAGGAGTTTTAAGTATCTCGTGATATTGTTCATAAGGGAGGGAAAGCTGGAGATCGACAGGCGGATTGGTGCTACGTCTGCAGTGATGCGGGCGTTGTACCGGTCTGTTGTGGTGAAGCGAGAGCTGAGCCGGAAGGCAAAGCTCTCGATTTACCGGTCGATCTACGTTCCTACCCTCACCTATGGTCATGAGCTTACAGTGACCGAAAGAATGAGATCGCATATGCAAGCGGCTGAAATTAGTATTCTCCGCAGGGTGGCTGGGTTCTCCCTTAGAGATAGGTTGTGAAGCTGGGTCATCTGGGAGGGGCTCGGAGTAGATTCGCTGCTCCTCCACATCGAGAGGAGCCAGTTGAGATGGCTCAGGCGTCTGGTCAGGATGCCTCCCTGGTGAGGTTTTCCTGGTACGTCCAACTGGTAGGAGAACTAAAGGTAGACCCAGGACACGCTGGAGAGAGGCTGGCCAGGGAACGCCTTGGGATTCCCCCGGAGGAGCTGGTCCAAGTGGCTGCAGAGAGGGAAGCCTGGGCCTTCCTGCTTATGCTACTGCCCCCGTGACCCGACCCCAGATAAGAGGCCGAAAATGGATGGATGGATGGACATAACAGTCAACCAACAAACACTCTTATGCACTTTGAGCAGGTGGGAATTTTCTTTTAACCGAAGAATTAATGCGAAGCATTCATTAGTCGGGGATGCTGCTTGCAACAAAGTACTCTCATGGAGCATGGGGGCCTCAGTAAGCCTACCTGACGGCTACTACGGTCTAATAAAAAAAGGATTAACAGCTTTTGAATGTCTTGCTGGACACACAACTTTAACCTCGACACACCTTTTTTTCTGCTGAGTGGTACTAATTTGCTGTCGTATCTTTGTGCCTGATGTGCTTCTGACAGAAATTCATTTAAAGCTTATGCAAGGAGAACAACTGAAAAGATCCTTTTCCTCGAGTCCCGTCTGGCTGTAAAGCACTCAGAACTGATGTCTGAGCGCCAAAAAAAAGGGACACACAAAAATAGAAGAGAAGCAAGATATCACAGCGCCAAACAACATGAGGATATTTAACGTTGGGCCAGGGCTTAGGTCACGTCTCCATTGTTTATCTGACCAGTACAGAAAGTAACTGTCACAATTTTTGCTGAAAAGCACAGGGTATAATTAACTCATGGTGCATTTAGCCCAAGGTAATGTGTCAGAAACACCCTTTACTTGTTAAATGTGAGTACCTGTGTGCGTACACATGCGTGTGTATGTAAGGTTTCTTTAGGAGTGTCCAATAGTCGGCGTGAGTGGCCACAGACCTGCCTCCCAAGCCCTGTCCAAGATGGAGGTCCAAGCCCCAGACATCCAGAGCTTCCTGGAGTGTGGATTCCCCCACCCCCATAGCTAACCAGCAGCCATGACAGAGGCCCAGATGATTAGTTGTTTATTTCTGTAACAAACAGGAGCCTCAGTGGCATGTGGACCTGAGGTTGCAGGTTCCAACCCACGCTCTGCTGCTGCTTTCACAAATGCAACTGACTTACAAATGTGGCGTTATTTAAGAGGAAACAAACAAGCTTTCCAACAAGAAGAATCATTACAGAAAAAATAAAGTTTATATTAGGAAGCAGGAACGAGGTGAAGGAATTTGTCACTTTCATCCATGAAACAGGGCTTAATCCGACATGTTGGATGTTATTTTAATTGATATTGAACATTTCTGCTTTACTTTAGTTTCCCTTTGCTTTAACTTCCTGTTTGGGTAAATTTAGACATCCTCATGTTTGGGTACTACAGCTACCTTTGGTCTTTGGACCTGAATCCCAGACAAGATCCAACCGAGTGTATGAATTGTTTTGACACACGTGTCTCGGAGGCATTTTTTATTTTTTGTAATGTCAATAAAAACACGTCCCTCTGCTGTGTTATTTTTGGGTTTCAGAGGCTTTTGATTCGCTTCAGAATACAGTAGCTGTTAGTTTTGTGTTTTCTCTGCCGCGCCGCAGCTGTGACTCAAACTTCTGGCCCTCGAGCTTCCATCAGTCAACAGGTTCTCAAAAGTGTGTGTTTTCAAACGGTTCAGTTTAAGGTGAACGCAATCAATTACTGGAAAAGAGAAGAACTGAAAATGTGTTATAGATGTTGATCTCACCAAGAAATGCTATATCTTCTTCTTCTTTTTGGTTTGAAACTGGCAGCTGACAAAGTCGACCACATGTGGAAAATCTTTCATAACTTTGGGACGGAACCAAACCATTTATAATGGGTTGTTAGGTCGAAACTACATGAGTCAGAGGGACAATCAGTAAAAGGGCTCTTTGTGAGGGATGTGATCGTGGACATTTGGAGCAATTTAGACTAATTTCTGGATAGAAGCCAAAGACATTTGAATGATGAGATTATAAACTTGATCTCAGCAGCTTTATGCCTGCCTCTAATGTACAGAACGCTGCTTGTGTTCACGAGGAACACAGCGGAATACAGGCTCCATAAATCCTGCGCCGCTCTGGGCTGTGCCCTGGCCCTTAATGGAAAAAAATTGGCGATTTAAATCCTAAATTCTCAGTCTTTGGGGGTTTTCTTTGGGTAGTTTTTCTCCTCTGATGGAAAATAGAACAAAACTTCACAGCAACATTCAGTTTCTACCCCTCCCTTTTCTATCCGATTGTCAGCCAAATTCCACTTAAAGCCATTTTCTCCGTAGGAAAAGTTGCTAAATGCCACCAAGCATCACCTAACTCCTTCCAGACTGAGCCAAGCGGTGAGATTGGAGAATTAAAGAAAACAGAATAAAGTTAAAGATGTAGAAGAAGGAGGAAACATTAATGCAGTGAAAGTCAAGACAAGATGCCAAACTGGCTGCTCTTTTATTTATGAGCCTCCTGGAGGTGGAGAGCTCTGGGACACATGCAGCCAGCCCTTATGAATAAATAAAAAGGTGCACTTACTGAAATAAAAGCCCCTCTCTCCGCAGACAAACTGCAGCGTGTCGACCAGCTCCGCCCCGCACAGGGTCTCGGGTCCCGCCCCTGTTGCCGTCGGAGTCAGGGTGAGGACACACAGCAGTAGTGAGAGGGTGTGGCTACAGGAGATACAGCACATCGCACCCTACCCACAGAGAGAGAGAAAGAGAGAGGGGGCAGAGCTTTAACATGTTCACTGCTGGAGGCAGAGCATCACCGGAGGCGAGCAGCCACAGGCGCAAAACCTCTGACTGGCAAGTTTTGGATGCGCAAAATAAAGAGGCAGTTGGCAAACTTTAAACAGGATGAGGAAAGTTGGAGGAAATGTGTTAAATTTTAGCTTACACTTATGTGAAAGTTGGTCAAACTGTGGAGGCTGAGCAGCAGTGATGCTCTGGAGCGCGTAACCGAGCGGAGCGCGTCCAAATAATAGACTATAAAACACACACCTTCTCCAGCCAAACAGTGAGTTAAAGCAACCCACATCATCCATTCACCCGTCTAATACATTAATAATAAACTGTTCGGCGTTTGCTTTAGCCCAAACCCAACTGTCAGTGCGCTATTACGCACCAAAGTGCTCCAAAATTAGAGAAAAAAAGGCACCAAGGGAGGTTTCCGATCCAAAATGTGAGATGGAATAGAGCGGTTCCGCCAAGGCCAGCGGAGAGGCGCTCCTGGGCCAAATGTAGATGATAAAGAGAATAAACACAGGACGTTACCATCCACATCTCAGCCACACAGCCGCGCTTCAGCTCTCCTCTCCCTCAACATCCTCAACCACCAGGTCCGGTGATTTAGCTTTTCATAACGCAGACTCAGCAGTAATTACTGCGAAAGTTTCAGAGCTGCATCAAGGTTTTCTGCTGCAAAAAAGAGCGCAGGACGCACAGAGGCGCACAAAATCTCCAAATCCATCCGTGCGGGTGAAAGTAATGCACGATTCATGCAAAGCCTCCAAAAATAAACAATAAAGCCAATTAAAAGAAAATGGGAACATTTGTCAGAAAATACCGATTAAAACATACAAGAAAAATGATCAGAAATGCATCATTGTCGTGCGTGCAAACGGCAGCAAAACTGAACCAAATCGGTGTAAATTCCATTGGATGGTTCCAGGTTAACTTGGATGCTCAGTGCGCGCAGTGAGCAAGTGGAGCGCCGAGGTGGAAATCTATAGTGCCAAAGGAAATCAGGTAAGTTACCTTGAGGACATCACATAAATGCCACTGTGAGGACTGAGCGCTAGACATCCCCGCGGGTCCCCGCAAGACAAAGCCCGGAGAAAATGAGCAACTTGTTTGAAGTCATTAAAAATCGGGGAAGAGGATGAGATGCGGGCAATGTCACATCTCAATATTCCGACTTTGTTCCATTGCGCAGGCTCGTTTTGGAGAAGTGAGATTTAGCGAACAGGAGACGGATTTAGAGAGAAAATCCCTCACATTTATCTACATTACACAGACATTTTCAACAGGAAACAGCTGGGGCAGCATTTGCCTCCTCCTCGTTCTAAGTTATTCATTAAGGATTTTGGGCACATATTCAAATAACGTCATTTCTGTGTTTTTTTTCTCCGAACGGGGGTGGAATTTAGATCTCTGAGGTTTGGTTAGCAGTTTCATATCAGCGTGCCGCCCCCCCCCCCCCCCCCCCCCCTCCCGCCGCAACAGCACCTCACAGACAGCATTTTATATCCTAAAGCTCCTGAGTGAGAAGCTCGGACCGAGCTAGAGGTGATAATGTGACTCTTGGTGGTTTTGCGTAATTTGGCTCCGCGTAATTCAACAGCGAAAAGTCTCCAAAGGCTGATCTGATTAAAATAAACTATTAATAACAAATTTCCACTCAGTCACCACGGTGCCTCTGACGCGATGCGCCAATAAAAGCAAAGCGAGTAAGGCTAAATGCATGTGAGATGGAGAGAATATGGAAAAATGGGACATTTGGTGCAATAAGGAGCACACACCCGCTGAGAAGTCTTTAAACTTTGTGCCACTGCAGGATTTGCAGCTTTCTACACACTTTCAACACGATTTATGCCTAAATTTTGTATTTTCTCTGGAGTTTTAGTCATTTTATGGTTATAATAAACTACAAATATGAGATTTAATGATACGATAAACCTGAAAGCTCCCATTTTCGTGCCTCATCCAAATAAAGGTTTTAATAAAGGACCGTGAACCCTAGGAGACTATAGACCACAACAGTTAATCTTTTTGATGCACTCTGTTTTCTCCCAAATAAAATAATTAATCTTCTCAACCCATTTTGAAACTCAAGTAAAGTTGAGGGTTCAATATGAGGGGTGAGGCTTTTTCCAGAGTCACAGGAAATCATCTGAGGGACCATAAACTGATTAAAGAGCAAGTCACCCCCTACCAGAGTCTTACCCCACTCCCACTTCATGCTGTTTCCTGGCAGACCGAGAAGGCAGAACCGCTAACAAACAAACAAACACACACACACACACACACACACACACACACACACACACACACACACACACACACACACAGGGTGTTACGTGATCGCCGTGGAAGCCACGGTCACGTGATGCAAGTCTGTTCCATTTAACCGTTTTCTTTTGCCAAGGAAGGACAGTGTCCTCGTAAGCAAGGCACCTGGCCTCGCAGGACATCGCCTCGCAAGGCGCCTTGACATTGAGAAACACCCACAGGCTCACAACGACATTGTGACATCATAATCTACTAGCTAACATCACAGTGTACCTCTTAGCCACTAGCGGTGGCAGATTTAAATTCAAATTCAGTGCAGAGTTTTTACCTGACAATGGTGCAACACTGACAGTTTTAGGCAGAATATATAAATTTTAACTAAAATGCACTAAAGTGCTAAATTATTGACTACAAGTGTCTACAGCACGATAAGACACTCATTTATATAGTTTCTCAGCAAAAAAAAAGTTGATTTGGGGGAGACTTGTTCTTTAAGAAGCCATATTTTACAAATGGCACTATTATTGAGTTAACTAATAAAACATTCATAACCCTCCCACTATCCTAATGGGTGTGACCCTGTGAGGAAAGATGACCATTGAGCAGGGTTGATGGCTTATCCCTTGGGTGCACGTGGCAGGGGTGAGGAGTGAGCACCACCTCACCCCTGCCACGTGGACCTCAAGGTATAACCATCCATCCATCCACCAACAATCAATCAGCTCAGCGTGGTGTTGGGGCATTGGATTACACAAACCAAGTGGATATTTTTAATTTAACACAAATTATTATGACCATCAGCCATCAAAGGTAAGGCTGAAGTTATGCTTTTGACTTTATGAAATTAGCTTTGTGTTGCTCTGTGAGTTTTGCAGGTAAATGGAACTCATATTGTAAAGAGAGTCTGGGTTTTAATTTGAAGAGCAAGTCACCCCCTACCAGAGTATTACTCCACTCCCACTTCCTATTTGAAAAATGAAACAAATGCTATTGCCAAGCAAACCGAGAGGGCGGAGCCGCTAACAAATACACACACAGGCTCACAACGACATTGTGACATCATATGGTACCAGCTAACATTCTAGGGCAGTGGTTCCCAACCTGGGGGTCCCGACCCCCACAAGGGGGCGCCAAAGCCTCTCAGTGGGTCGCCAGGACCTCTCCACTTTAAGGGGTTAAAACTTCATTTATTACTTGTTTATAGCCTACATTTTGCTCACTTTTTTTTCACGAGTGAAAAATTTACTGATATTAAGACAGGAAATAATTAGTACAGAAAAAGTAACACACTTTTAAGAACATTTTGCTCAGCTCACTGTTTTATTTTCAAGTGTCAAAAGTTCATTAAAGATAGGACTGGTTGATTAATCACAGCCTTTACAGTAAATAATCTAGTATAAACAGTAATATACACATTTAAGTACATTTTGCTCAGTGTTTTTTTTTTATGTGTCAAACGTTTATTGAAAGGAATGATTGATTTATCAGTGTTTACAAGAAACAATGTGTTCTGAAAAGTAATACAAACTGTCAAGCACATTATGCTCTGTTTGGTTTGGTTAATGACTTTGTTCTGTACTGGAGCCTACTATTACTGTTATCTATTGAATCCAAGCATATTAAAATGTGCTTGAACAATTTTATCATTTCTTAATGATGGTTGTACTGGAAGAGAGAATGGGAGGGGGTCGTCAAAAAGTTTACTGGTAAAAAACGAGGTCCCTTCGGAAAAAGGTTGGGAACCACTGTTCTAGGGTACCTCTTAGCCAATAGTGGTGGCAGATTTAAATTCAAATGCAGTGCAGAGTTTTTACCTGACAACGGCACAACATTGACAGTTTTAGGCACATAATTTAAATTTTAACTTAAATGCACTTAAGTGCAAAACTATTGACTACACATGTCTGCAGCATGATTAGACACACATTTATATAGTTTATCAGGGGAAAAAAGTTGATTGGGGGTGACTTGCTCTTTAAACGGCTGCTTCTGTGGATTGGATCATGTTGCATTGTTGCTACTGTGCTTTTCTCTATATGTGTATTTAGCTTTTTGTGTTCTGCCTTTCACCAGCCACCACTGTGTTATACACAAACATTTTAATATTAAATTTCTTCCAGACAAAAGAGTTAATCAAACTAAAGGTGTTTGCAACAACGGCCTTGCTGAATTCTCCCGTCGCCAGAGATTTAAACATCACCTAAATGCAAACGCGGCCGTGAATCCGTGCCCCAAATAATCAGGGCAGGCTTTGACAGGCTGCACGTGTGAGAAAGAAAGGTAAACAAAAGCGAGAAAAGCTAACAGATACCATAATAAAGTAGAAAGCGACCTGCTGCAGGCTAATTAGTAAGGTGGAGGCCCGAGGAGCACCAGTGTTCCTCTGTTGTACCTTAGACACAGCTGCATGGTGTGGACATACCATCTATAGATGTAATCTTTGTAGGTTTTTGGAGCGTTCAGAACCTGTAGAGGAATAGAAAATGCTATAAAACATTATCAGAACAGTATTCTTCATTGATTTGGATTGCATAAAGGAAGTATGTTCTGCTGCTTGTAAAAGCCTTGAAAACATGAGAAAAATTTTGTTGCGAACTGTAGTTACAATTTTTACTGGATTGAGAGCCCTAGTTGTGATTAATCCGTTCTGGTTTCAGAGCTAACTTTGAAAATTACTTGAAATGTTTTAAACAGAAAATGCTACACCGAATCTCTGCAGACTTACTGTGACTTAACTCTGTTTTGAACACGACTACAATCTGCATTCCCTCTCTGACTGGTGAGACTTAGACCCCTGAAGCTCCAACATTTTGTTTACTACTGTAAACTGTTCATTGAGCCTCTATTTATATGAACATTTGTTGGGGCTCACAATGACCCAGGAGCTCTGACAAGTGGACAAACACATCCTGATAAACTTCTATGATGGAAAGACTTGTTTGCCCCACCTACTCGGTCAGGACATGCATATTAAAGAGCAAGTCAACCCCCAAATCAACTATTTTTAGCTGATAAATTATATAAATGAGTGTCTAATCGGGCTGTAGACACATGTAGTCAATAATTTGGCACTTTAGTGAAACTTAAAATGCAAAAATTCTGCCTAAAACTGTCAGTGTTGCGCTTTCTTCAGGTAAAAACTCTGCACTGCATTTGATTTTAAATCTGCCATCGTTATTGGCTAAGAAGGTACGCCATACATACATGATGATGTCACAATGTTGCTGTGAGCCTGTGTGTGTATTTGTTGGCGGCTCCGCCCTCTCGGCCTGCCAGGCAACCGCATTTTGTTGGATTTTTCAAACAGGACATGGGAGTGGAGTAAGACTCTGGTAGGGGGTGACTTGCTCTTTAAATGAGCTGTTTGCTGATTGGTCCTGTTGGGTTAATGACTGAAGCTAGAAACATTGTGTACAGCATCCGGATAATGCAGTAGATAAACTGTAGACTTCAGGTATCAGAATCAGGGATTCCCGAGTCTGGATTTTGCCAGTTCCATCCTAGAATCTCACGCGTGTGCTTCGATATTCTTCTTTGTTGTTTTCCTCTCGTCCAACAAAGATGCAAGCAGTATCTATGCCGAGCATTAACACTTGCTTGGGCTAGCATTGTTCTGCAGTAACCATGATGATCAAGTGGGGCGGAAACCACACTCCCTTAAAATATCCCATTCATGTCGACACAAATCACACATTAGTCTTCTTTAATCAGGACATAAATGTTGAAGCCAATAAATCATTTTTTTGAATGAGAAACGCAAGAAATCATGTATTCAATAAATCACTATATATATATACATTTATATATATATATGTATATATATATAAATCACTATATTTATAAATATGTATATATCAAGAACCTTCTCGACGTTCGTCCTCGGGGTAGGGGCCGCCAATACCTCGTGGACTGGGAGGGGTTTGGTCCCGAGGACAGGTCATGGATTCCCGGGTCCTTCACCACAGACCCTGCCCTCATCCCTGCCTTTGAGGCTTCCTGGGCCTCCTCCTCCTCTGCTCGGCTGCCAGGTGG